GGAAGGTTCTGGACGCTGGAGCCCGGTTTGGTTTTCATCACTAGCGTGGCACAGCCGGAGGGGATGTGTCGCCAGAGCTCGGGCCCTGAACTTTCTGAGATGAGGCTGTTTCAGGATGGCTAAGGTAGAGCAACCCCTTCCCTAGCCCCCTCCTCCCCCCGCAGCCTGCCCGGGGCCCTGGAGGAGGGATGGCAGGGGTTCACTCACAAGGGACCCAGCACCATCTGGATCGCAGCACAGGTAGCGTGGCACAGCCGGAGGGGATGTGTCGCCAGAGCTCGGGCCCTGAACTTTCTGAGATGAGGCTGTTTCAGGATGGCTAAGGTAGAGCAACCCCTTCCCTAGCCCCCTCCTCCCCCCGCAGCCTGCCCGGGGCCCTGGAGGAGGGATGGCAGGGGTTCACTCACAAGGGACCCAGCACCATCTGGATCGCAGCACAGGGCTGGCTTGAAGTGTCTCTCCAGCTCCTAACCCAGCCCCTCCCCTCTCTGTCAACTCCCCCTTTCTGTCCCCTCCCTGGTGTCGCACTGGTCATCTGAGCTTTGTGGCCACTTCCACTCAGCCAGCAGACTTCCCCCAGCTGACTTCAGCTCAGACACCTGCCTGGCTGGGAAGCGTCCCAGTTCTCCTCCAGGGGTGGTGCTTCTCCCCCCTCGTCTGTGAAATACCCAGGAGAAGGGCCCGGATTTCCAGGAGGCTCCCAGCAGACCTTTGGGAAGGGAAGAGAAGACCCTGGGGGATTTTACCCTTTCCCGAGCTATCGCAGATCTGAAAGGAGGCATATGCAGCGGAAGGGGTACGTGTGTGCTTTGTGTGTGCTTTGTGTGTGCCTGCATGTAGTTACATGTACATGTGTCAGTGCGGACCCATCCCGTGTCTTCAGTTTCAGGCTGGGTAGGATTTTCCTCCAAACCTGGGCATTTGGCCCTCAGCAAGTGTGACCCTTGGTCCTGCAGCCAGACTCCCTCTCTCCCCCCTCCCCACTCTTGCTCCCTCTTTTCCTCCCTTTCTGTCTTCCTCCGCTGTAGAAGAGCCCAAGCCCTTCCTAGTTTTTATAACTACCCCCCTCCCTCAGCACTCCCCTGGGAGCCTGGCATGCAGTGGGGTGTACAGGGCAGGGGGCAGCCCGTGGCAGTGGTCTTTTGGGATCTGGCTGTAGGTTTGTTCGTAGCATCTCTCGCACAGGGTAAAGCAGCCACGGATGGAGCCTTTGCCAAGGGCTGACTCCTCGCACTCTTACTCTTTGGATTTCACCTGCTTCTTCTCTTTACTTTGGGCAGTGCTCTCCCCAAGAAGGAAGGCTTTACAAGTTTACAAGGCTTTTCCCATCTTCCTCTTTTCTTCCCCATCTGTCCCTCCTCTTTTCTCCATCCTCATCTTGCTGACATCTTCACTTTTCCAGTCACCCTGAGTCTTTTCCTCTCCCTTTGCTCATCTCTCTGTCCTATCTGTTTGACCCCCCTAACTCCCTGCCTTTCTCTTCCTGTCTCCTCTTGCTCCAATTTCTTATTTTGCCTCCCCAGGCCCTTTTTCCCCCCTCTGCTGGAATCACTAAAACTACTTAGTTGGCAGAGACCCTGCAGTTTGGTTCAGTGCCGAGCTACTATGTCCTTCTCTCCACCTGACGGCTTTTTGCTCAAGGTCACTGCAGTAATTCCATATGAGGCTGCCTAATGCTGCCTTACCTACTGCATGGTTTCTGTTTCACTCCCTTTATATTCCTGGGGATATTGTGTTTGATAAAACTCACTGCTTTGAACACCATTGGCAGTGCTCCGGGCCCAAACTCTGTCCCTTCTCCATTCTGCCACCCGTGCTTGACTTCAGTTTTTTCTCTTTCTTTCATTCCTGTTTCTCTGGATGTCATAAGAACTGAAAACTTTCTGGGAAGTTTTGCAAGCAGGCGAATAATTGCCCGGACAGCTCATGTTGCTGGCTGGAGACAATCCTGTCATATTCTGGTGCTAGTTGGCACATGGGGAATGTCCGGGCTTGGGGCTGCTACTGAACAAGGAACCTGCTGGGAGTGAGACGGAAATGCCCAGAGCTCAAGCTTTGGTAGAAGGGAGAATTTACTCAACAAAAGCCAAGCGTTCACCAGCAGGGAAGGTGGAACTTAGTCAATAACCTTGTTGCGGTCAGAAGGGAAAATGCTGATCTTGATCCTGAAGGACTTAACTTGATCAGCTGGCTTGTTTTTAAGCAATAAGGAGTGACTGTCTGCCCCCACCCTCATTGGGCACTGCTGTCTCTGGTTGCAGTCATTTTACTGGCATTTAGCCGCACTAAGATATAAAGACAGCGGGCTGGGCTGCACTTTGAAAGGAAATCAATACAGTGAAATGTCTTGAAAGAAACTTCTTTAGGAGCCATCTCTACAGATTTCTCTCTCTGCCTTGGTGAGTGTGATGCCTCCACCGGCGGAGGGGTGGCTGCTCATCACTTGTGGCCATGGGGTTACCTAGGCCATACCCTAGCAGAGGCAGGGCTTGACCGTCTGAGGTATTCTCGAAGCAATTATAGGCCATGACTGGTTTTAATGGCAGCGGGTGGGAGATGCGTGCTTGTTGTGGGTGTGTTCACGGGAAGCTATTTTCAGCCCTGGCTCCGTCATGAAGAAAATGAGATTCCTAATAGAGGTAATAGCTGAGTCACATAGGAAGGGTAAGGATGTAGCAACTGACTTCCAGGGAGCGGTCACCTCTGCACAGTTGCCTCTCAGGGTGCAAAGCTGGGAGGCGAGGACATGGTGCTGCCCTGCTCTTGGGAGTGCAGGGTCAGGGGCGACCCCACTGCACCCAAGTTCCCAGTCAGAGTATGGGATTGGGTGAGGCTCTCCAGTGCAGGTCAGTCTCTGGTCACTGTGGGGGTGTTGGACTGTGATTGCCAGGCGTTCGTTAGCTGGAGCAGGGGAAGTGAAGGGGGTGAGGCTAGAAAGCAAAGCCCAAGCAAACCAAGAGGTCATTGGGGTGGCTCTGCAACTCGTGGTTTGCCCTTCTCCCCTCCTCCATGAAGTAAGAAGAGTCAACTCATAGAGTCCTTATGCTCCCACCATCACCAGAGAACTGGGGTGGGGGAGACTCCTACCCATTTCCCCCCTTCCAGCAGCTTGAAGCCTCCTTTTGGCTCAGAGGAGAGTTGAATGACAGGTGAAAACATCAGCACTCTGTCTACACTGCAGCCCTTATGGTCAATATCATTGGTGGGGTCCCAAGTTCCTGAGCGTTAACACATCTCCTTCTAACAGGAGTCATCTTTTCATCCCAACAGGGCTGAGGGTAACTTGCTCCATGTGCAAATCCTGTCCCTACAGCTCTGGAGAACAGCTTAGCTACTCTGCATGTGCATGTGGGTGTGCGCGAGTGTGTGTTTGAATGTGCATACATGAGAGAGAGAGATACTAATTCAATGTAAAATGTTCTCATCTTTTTGTACCCACCCCCTCCACTCTCTATCGAATTAATTTCTCCCGCCACCCCCCTCTCTCCTGCTATCTCTGCTTGGATAAAACATTAGCAGTGAAGTGGGCTGCAGCCTGGCAGGAGCATGACAGAGACACTGCCTGGGGAATGCACTTGTTTAAACTGGTGAATTCTGTGCAGTTGAAGGGTATTGGAGCCTTCTGGTCTCTTTGCAGGACAGACACAGGGGCAGCATGAGTGGCTGGTGTGCTGAGCCTGGTGTGTTCTCTTGATCTGCTGCACTGGCTTGCAGGGTGTCACTTGACCTCTGTGTCTCAGTTATCCCTTCAGTGGCGAGAACTAATTGTGCTAATGTGTGTGAAGTGCTCAGGGTTATTGTTACGGGACAGGCAAGAATAGTGCAAGTTTCCTGCCCCTGAATGACCTGACCCTGACTGGGAGCAGCCATCTTGGCAGCTGGAGAGTAACTCGGTCTCCATGGCCCGGTCTGCAGGCCACTTCTCCGCTGAGGCAGATAACAGTGGGGGTGGGTTAGTCCCAGAGGCGGTGTGGACAGGCAGGAATTAGACTGAAACCCCACCTGTTTCAGAGACACTACTAAATATTTGGCCCAGGCTTTACATGTCTGTACGTTCAGACACAGGGCCTCTGGGACATGCATGTGCGCAGGCCACAAGAGGGAGCGTCGCTTGGTGCATCCTACCTTCAGACATACAGGCCCCATCAGTGTCCATTCCAAGACAAAGAGGTTACCTCGGGAATGCGAGAAGAGAAATGAGGACAAGGAGGGAAAGGTCTGGTGACCCTGCTGGTCATTTCTCTGCAGGGATACAGGATGGAGATATACCTGGAACAGAGTTCCTCATCAGACTGTCCTTGAGCCCAAAGTCTGGAGTGAAACCCTGGCTCCTCTAAAGTCAGTAGCAAAGCCCCTGATTCAGTGGCACTGGAACTATTTTTAGGGTGAAGGTGCTGAGCTACATTTCCCCTACAACTAACTGTTTCTGCCCCTCGCCACTCCAGGCTGGGTCACACCTAGAATCGCAAACTCTCCTGGATGCCATTTTTAGGAAATGGCATCCGATTTGGGACAGTTGGCAACTTAGCTACAATTGGAGGTGGCTGCGGCGCCCCAGGCCGGTGGCAGGACCCCGAGTGGCAGTGCAGCCTCCTGGGTTGGGGGGTGCCAAAGCCAATGGGACCCCAGAGGCTGGGACCTGGATGGTGGGGCCAGTCCCTGGGCATGGGGAAGCTGAATGGAAAATCTGGGGGTGTACCAGCATCTCTTACACCCCTGTTTCCTGCACCTATGCCATTATTTGGCCCCTGGAACATAGACTCTTAAAAGCTCTATTTAAAGTTAAAAATCTCCGCCTTCTCAGACCTGGACATTCACTGGATCTGTTTGACATGCCTAAGCACTCCAGAGTTTGGGATGCTTCCCCCCAGTTGCCTGGGTGTGCAGAACTGGATCTGAGATCTTGTCACTTCTAGCACCCTTGTGTCTGGTAGGCAGTGCCATGAGAATAGGTTTTCATGTGGTATTTCTGCACCTGCTTCCCTTGCTGGGATCTAGAACCAACCCATAAGCTCAGAGAATAGCTAGTGTGCATGTGAGGTCCAGGTTTCTTGGGGAAAAGGTTCTTACTTTATCCAAACTGATTTGCTAATCCTTGGCCTTGAGTTAATTGTCCTCTGACAGGAGAAGGCCGTGGATAATTTCCAGGAGAAGCATCACAGTTTGAAAGCTGACTGCAAAAAAAAAAAAAAAAAAAAAAAAGAGCCGGGTAGTCCATATTTATTGCCTCTCAAAGAAGCACATTGCTGAGTTTTCTTGTTGAAGGGTGGCTCTTTTTCTGACTGCAAGCTCTGCCAATGCCCCCTGGGATCTAAGAATCATGCTGGTTTTCTTTTTCTCCTGTGGCATCATCCCCATTAAAAACAAACCCTGTAGACTAAAGGCAGAATTTAATTGACATGCATTTGGAACCTAGTTAACAATTCTGATGATGCACAGAATCAACTGAACGGAATCCATTTCCTTCTTCCATCAGTGTTTCCATTGAAAAAAATGGTATAAACTTGCCACGATATGTGACTTAATACATAGTGGAAGTAGATCTTTGGGAGAAGGTGCCATTTTTAGACAGTTACTTTTAAGAACAGAACCACACGGTAAAATCCAATCCAAATATGTCTGTAGAATACAAGAGGAGGTATCTGGAGAAACTATAAGAACTGACTATGTATTTTCTATTAGCATATTTTCCTGACATTGCTCAGGTCCTTATGGAGGGCTTAGGGCAGGGGGCTAGAGGAGTGGGGGGAGCTGGAGTCAGAGTTGGGGAGCATAGCACATCTGCCCCCTGCGCTTTCCAGTTAGAGTGAAGAATGCAGCAAACTGTACACTTTCCCCTTGCTCCCTGACAAAGGGGAACAGCCAGCAATGTCCCCATAGAAATTAGGGGGAGACGGGGCATTTCATGCATTTTCAAGGAGTCCTGGATGGGGGAGGAGGGTGCCCCCAGGCAGTTCCTTTCACCTGCCTGGTGATTCTGATTCTTTTCTGTATGGTTTTCTGAGAAGCAATCCCATTCTAGGCACATCACATTTTCCTGGCACAACCAAACCCTGACTTTGCTTTAAGTTATGATAAGAGGAAGCTGTATAGCAGATTTGGTGGTTCTAGCTCTTCTCCTTGGAGGAGTTATTGAACAGAGAGTCAAACAGAAAGAGAATCTCTCTCAAATAGATAGTAGAATATATAATTTTTTCCTTTGGATTCACCTCTCTTAAATACAAATTTTCCTTGTTTGCCTTTAGCTGAGCTAAATAGCCAGGTTGTCACAAAATACAAGGATGTGTGGGATATAAGTGTTACATTTTTCACATTACATTTAATATGTCTTAAAGATACACATTAAAGGAAAGAATTGCTGTGGGTGCTGCCAGAGAGCAACAGAAATGCTTTGGGACTGCAGACTGGGGCCTTTTCCTGCTGGTGATTGTATTTAACACTTTCTGTCTGTTTTCCAGATCCATGTAAACTCTGGTGAGCTGGAGCTCTTTCACTAGTGAGGCTGGGACTGTGACTCCCCCCCTGGGTCCCAGACTGTTTATTCCCCAGGCCTTCATTGCCAGTTGTGGACTGTCTGCACATTTCAGCCATGACTACCTCTGCCTTGCGCCGGCAGGTAAAAAACATTGTGCACAATTATTCGGAGGCGGAGATCAAAGTGCGTGAGGCGACCTCCAATGACCCCTGGGGCCCACCCAGCACCTTGATGTCAGAGATTGCAGATCTGACCTTCAACACAGTGGCTTTCTCTGAGGTCATGGGCATGATCTGGAGGCGGCTGAACGACAGTGGCAAGAACTGGCGCCATGTATACAAGGCACTGACCCTGCTGGACTACCTCATCAAAACCGGATCGGAGAAGGTGGCCCATCAGTGCCGGGAGAACCTTTACACCATTCAGACCCTGAAAGACTTCCAGTACACAGACCGCGACGGCAAGGACCAGGGCATTAACGTGCGGGAGAAAGTCAAGCAGGTCATGGGCCTGCTGAAGGATGAGGAGAGACTGAAGCAGGAAAGGGCTCACGCCCTGAAGACGAAAGAACGCATGTCTGTGGAGGGCGCAGGCATCAGCAGCAGCCAGCAGCTCTCCCATAGCAGGCGGACATCGCAATATGGAGAAGACTATAGCAGGCCGAGGGGGTCTCCGTCATCTTTTAATTGTAAGTGCTGCAGTGCTCCAGACTAGGTGGGATGGGGACGGTGGGCATGTCTGACCCAAGGACAGTGGGCCACTGGATGGCTGAGGTTCTGAGGGAACATTTGGGCTCACTCTTGTCTATCTTGGCAGCCCTGAGCCAGAACCCTGTCTCCTAGGACAGCCGCTCAAAACCCATATTTGTTACTTTCTAGCCATATTGCCAATGGTGTCCACATGTGAAGCAGTTTTCTTCCTGATTTAGTTTCATGGGGTAGGTGACGTTTGGTCTTCCACTGGGCGACCCTCCCAGGCATGTGGCATTCTGGAAGTAAAGGCTATGGCTGGCTCCGTCTTAACGGACTCTGACATTTCTCCCTGTCTTCAAGACATAGTTCATGAATAAGTAAACCAGTCACCTGGGACACAGAACTGAAGGGGGCACCACACACACATCTGCAATCTCAAACACCAGGAGCTGGCTTCTGCTAGGACAGCGGTTCCCAACCTTTTCCAGATGGGGAGCCATTTTGACAATTCAGGAAGACTTGGTGACCCAGGGCAATTCAAAAACGGGGAGAGAAGGGAGGGCAGAGACACCTGGGGAGACACTTGGCGACCCTTTTGAAATGTAATGGCCACCCATATTTGGGTCCCGACCCATAGGCTGGGAAAGCCTGTGCTAGGAGGTTCCAGCTCTAGAAGATTTCTCTAGCTGCTGCTTGTTTTGATGTTTGCCTCCGGTACTTTTCCGCTAGTTTCCTGTGCTCCCACCTTTGATCCCCCAAAGTGGCGTCTCTCTGCCATTGTGCACAGAGTCTTGCTGACATAGAGAGTTTTATTTCTAGACCATTGAGGGGAAATTGTTCCACTTGTATTCTGACCTTTCTCCTCAGCCAGGCCTGCGGTCCAACTCCAGCGCTTGAACGGCAGACGCTCTCTCGGAGTGCTCTGTGAGGTCAGTGACATGGAGCAGCTTCCCAAGCGCTCAGGGACCTTGCTAAGCATGAATGCCCTGCAGCCTGAGCTGGGTGGTGGGAATGAGGGGACAGCAGAAAAGCCCATGGGGGGGGAGAGGATGGGTGATTATTGCTGATTAACGCCTAAGAAACATCCCAGCTCCACAGACGCTGGTTTTCTTCCTCCTGCTTCAGCCTGATCTCTTGCTCTTTTTGATCCCAGCTTCTTCCTCATCCCCTCGGCTCGCCTCTGACCTGGAACAGGCAAGACCTCAGACAACTGGAGAGGAGGAGCTGCAGTTGCAACTTGCTCTGGCCATGAGCCGAGAGGAGGCCGAGAAGGTAATGTTTGTTGCATCTCTCTCTTGTGGGGTGATGTGTAATGGCATGTGGCCCATCCGGGACGGCTGTGAGCAAATCTTTCCAGCGGCAGGAGATGGGACACATGCTGGAGAGGGCTCGGCGTCACTCCAGAGAACTCTTTCTCAGGGGTCTGGTTGGCCCACATGCTCACAGTCTAACTGATGCCTTATCTGGAGGCAGGAAGGAATTTTCCCCCAGGTCAGAGTACCTGCTTCTGTAGCATGGAGCAGGGTCACTTGCTGGTTTGAACTAGAGTAAATGGTGGCTTCTCTGTCACGTGAAGACTTTAAATCAAGTTCTGAGATGTCAGTAATGCCACCAGAGTTATGGGTCTATTCCGGGGGCAAGGGGAGGACCTGTGTTCTGAGATGTGCAGGTCAGGCTAGGTGAGCATGATGGTCCTGGGACAGGCGACTGGTGCCTAGAGCAACTGTTTTCCTTTTTTTTTTCATGATCCAGTTGAAGAAAATTGTTGATGCTGTGACCCAACATCATTGGACTGGAGTGTGGGCTCCGGGGAGGGGCGGAGGATGAGATCTTTGGGCTATCGGACAGGACTCCAGCTTTTGGGGGTGGGGTGAGGTTGAGTCATCCAGGGTTTACCTTGAGCGGCTCCCAGTCAGTGGTGCAGTGGGGGTGCTAAGGTGGCCTCCTGCCTTTCCTGGCACCGCAGACCATGCTGCCCCCCAGAAGCAGCCAGCAGAAGATTCCTAGCCAATGGGAGTGCGGAGCTAGTGCTCAGAGCAGGGGCAGTGCACGGAGCCCTGTGCGCTCTCCCCCCTCCCTACCTAGGAGCCGGGCCTCCTGCCGGCTGCTTCTGGGGTGCAGCACAATCTGCAGTGCCAAGACAGGCAGGTAGCTGCCTTAGCACCTCTACTGATCCCTCCACAGCAACGAGACCCAGGGCCTGACATTCAACCTCCCAGTCCTGGGTTGTGACCTGTAATTTGAAAACAGCTGCCCTAGAGGAACATGGAGGGGGCTTGAGGAAGCATTCCTCTTAGCAATTAAGATTTTTTTGGTGGGGAGGGCACAATGGGAGGGGTTTACCTCCTGAGTGCTACCATGAGTCACCTATGCTTCCTGGCCTTAAAGTCTATGAATCATGGTAGTAAGGCATGGAGAGTGATTTCTAGGCTCTGCCAACCCCAATGCTAGTGTGCAGTGTTGTTTTCCCACTGGCTGCGGACACAGCAAGTCAGCATGATGCGGATTTATTGCACTGTTGTTGCCTAATTCCATATGTTGTGTATCCAAGAAGGGAGCCTATGGGTGGGTGCATGCACTGTATCAGATATCAGTGCCAGAGGCTCTCAGAAAGATAGGTGTGGTCCATCTAAACCCTTTCTTCTGCGTGGTTGGCTTGAAGATGAATGATCCGTTTTCTTTGGGCCAGCAGGGTTTTCAAAGAAGGCCAGTATGGAGGTATGGAATCAGGACTCCACATAGCTCTCTTCTAATCCAGTGGCTCTAAGTACATTGGGTGAAATCCTGATGACACTGAAATTAAGGAGGATTTTGCCATTGACTTCAGTGGGGCTGGGATTTCATCTATATTTTTCATCTATAAATTACTCTGGGTACGTCTAGGCTGCAAGCTTCTTTCGAAAGAACTTCTTCCGAAAGAGAGCGTCCACACTGCCAAAGCACATCGAAAAAGCAATCTGCTTTTTTGAAAGATAGCGTCCACACTGAATGGACGCTATCTCGCATTTAAGCTGTGATTACTATGGACGGAGTGACCACCAGGGTTCCTTTGCTTTTTCTTTTTTCCTCTTCTTTCAAAAGATTTCTCTCTTCCCCATCCACACATGCTCTCTTAAAGAAAGAGCACTTTAGGAAAAGGCATTCTTCCTTCTAGAATGAAGTTTACCAATGTTGGAAAAACCCTCTGTTCTTTCCATTTTCTTTTGAAAGAACACAATAGCAGTGTGGTCATAAGTGAAGTTTTTTCAGAAAAATGGCTGTTTTTCCGAAAAATCCCTGAAGTCTAGATGCACCTTAGGAGCGATTTACGGTAACATGCCCAGAGTGATTCTGATATTTCCTTGGCAGATATTAGAGAGGACCTGTGCCCGCCCGCCCATGGGGCAAATAGGTTCTGTACCAGGAATTGCAAACATCCTGGAGAACTTGTCTGAGCACTTGTGGCACTAGCTGCGATTTGAATGCGGCTGTGTGAGCGTGTATGTGTGCCTCTGATTGCTAAGTTTCTTCCACATGACTGTGTTTAATTAAGTCACTTGGGATTGTTTCAAAGGAGGCCAGACAAAGCTCTGGAAGACACTGTAGAAAGCAATTCTGCCTTGGCCACAGGGAGAGGAGGGGAGGCAAGAAATCCCAATAGGTCTCTCTCAGCTCCCTGTTATATTGGGAGGCCCAAAATGCCAACACAGTGCGTGTATCCTTGGTGCACCTTCCCCAGCTCTCTTATCAGTTGATCTGCTTCTCCCCTTTCTGGCAGAGCCTGTTTGTTTGCACACACACAGTTTGAGATTAATGCCAACTGACACTGCCTTTCTCTAACAACGCTGAGGATATTGGAGGAAGCACAGCACGGAGGGGCACCACCACCCTTTGGGTGACACCTCCAGGGCTTTCCCACCTCACTGCCGCCTGTTTTTAAATTGAGCTTGGACCGAAATGTCTCTCAGACGCCTTCTGGCTTAGGCTCTGGTGGTTGAGGTCTTAGCATTCCTCTTGGTGCTGGAGCCAGGCCTGCCAATGGGTGGAGGGGGCAGAGGGGGCAGTTGCTTTGGGGCCTGGTGATTCAAAGGGGCCCAGGGCTCCTGAGCACGAGGTGCTCTGGCTGGCTGTAAGGGCTGTGGGGAAGGGCAGCGTGGTGCACAGAGTTAGCGCTGCCGGTCCCAGGCTCCGTCCCTTCTGCCAAAGGCCCTGTGAGGAGCCTTCCCTCCCATCTTGCCCAGGGGCCTACGGAAATTGTCGGCGCCTTTGACTGGAGCCACACACAGTTGCTGGAGGCCTGGCTGGCTATATGGTTGCCCCCTACATAGCTGTCATCCCTGTATCTGAGCAAAATGGCTGTTGTGTCCCACCTTCCCTTCCTGGAAGCTCCTTGGTGGGCTTAAAGGAGCTTGTGTCCCTGTTTTTGTCTCAGACACGTAGCTATTAGTAGCTTCCCAAACCTCACTAGAGTAGTGCTGAAGGAACGTGCTAGTCAAAGCGAGGCCCATGAGAATCAGCAGGCCAGGCAGCGCTGGAAAATGGGGGAGGCAAAAGAGACATTTGTCCCTCCACCCAGTCTTCAGGGGGCCAAACATTCTTGCAAGAGCGGCCAAAATACGTACAGAGTTATCCAATGTCAGACAATGGAACAGCGGCAAATCGGAGAGTCTTTGTCTTTTATATGAAATTGTAAATCAGAACAAACCCCTGACACAAAAGCCGCATTTTCCTTTCTTAAGACTCTTAAAATCCAAGAGTTTCCTGGAGCCTAACGAGCCCTTGGACTCCTGAAAGCAGGCCCACCTATGTGTGTGTGCAGAGGGGGGCAGGGGGAAGGGGAAGTTGCCTTGGGGCTCGGCGTTCATAGGGCCCCGGGGCTCCCAGCTGCCACTGCTGGTATTGTGGCAGCTGTGACAGCCGCAGCCTTGGTCCCTTTCAATTGCCACTTGAGTGTCATGCTGTGAGCTCCATGCAGCTCTATACGGCTGGGGGAAAGGGAGGGGTGCCGCGCTCCAGGCGGTGGTAAAGGTTGGCTGCCCTAGCTCCACCCCTTCCGCTTGAGGCCCCGCCTCTTCTGGGAGCATGGAGCCAGTCCCCTTCCCCCCCAGCATCTTGCCCAGGGCTGGAAGAGGCTGTTGGCTTCTCTGCCTAGTAGGGTTGCCAGGTGTCCAGTTTTGAACTGGACAGTCCAGTATTTGAGCTTTCTGTTCAGGAAACAAATTGAGAAAATATAAATGTCTGGTATTTTCTAAATAAGATGTAATGTAGATTGTGATGTAATCAGGAGTGGTCTGAGGCTGGCTGCGGTAGCTGGCGCCCCAGACAGAAGGTGTGACTGGCATCTTTGCCTGCACAGCCATCAATGGCTATGATGTAATCACGGGGCACCCCAGCGCCCCGTGACATCATCATCGGGCACCCAGGCTGGTGGCGCCCTAGGCAACTGCCTAGTTTGCCTAGACTCACAGGCCGCCCCTGGATATAATGTCAAGTGTGTCCGGTATTTTTGTTGAAACCATCTGGCAATCCTACTGCCTAGAAAGTTGTTTTCTTTCTTAAATAGTTACATCCGAGGGTCTCCAAGTGCTTCCCCCCCATTCCAAGTAAAGGGACTGTAGAGCCAGTCCTGCATCTAGGCCATGCCATATCATGCAGAATGATGCTCTTCCACTGCTCCTTCAGCTCTCATGAGTTCTCACATCTCATCAGGCTGTGCTGAAAATGCTGCAGAGATGTGAACATGCATGTCTTTGTGTCCTGGTAGTTGTAGTCCCATCTTTTAGTGTAGAAGGGCCCAAACTGTATGTTTACCAAATCCAATTCTTCAGCATAAAGGGACATGGTAAAAATGCAGTCTGGTGCTGTCCAGTGTTCCCTCTAACTTTTTCCATCCATGTGCAGAATACATTTTTATGTGTACTGAGGCATGTGCAAATGTGCACCACCAGTAGAAATGCATGCCACCGGTTGTGGCGCTCTGCTAATCAGCTGGGCGGCATTTGAATTTCTCCTGGGTGGCCACCCAAGCACTCAGCTTAAAGGGAACACTGGTCCTGTTTCCATTGCAAGATTGGGTTGCATGATGGGGCTTCCAGTGTGGTAGCATTTTACTCTGAAAATAAAATGCAAATGTTTTCCAACCTATGGTGTAGCAGTGTTTCACTGGGGTGTTTGCGTGGCATTGGATCAGTTTGGAACCCCTGCTGGTTTAGCAGTCAGTGATGAGATGGAAGAAGGGACGGAGTTTATTGCAGTACATAATCTGCTTAGTTTTATCATTGTTTGAGAGAAGAAAGATGGTCCCTAGTTGTAAGTATGTGACTGGGCATAAGGAAGTCTTGGTTTCTTTTACAGGCTGTACCACTAATAAGATCTTTGCTTAACCTATCTGTACTTCAATTTGCCCATCTGAAAAGTGGTGTAATGCTAATATCACCAGGATGTTGAGGATTTAGGTCTGATGGAGAAAGTAAACAAGGCAAAGTTATTTACTTGTCTCCATAACACAAGAATTAGGGGTCACCAAATGAAAGTAATGGGTAGCAGGTTTAAAACAAACCAAAGGAAGTATTTCTTCACACAATACACAGTCACCCTGGTGAACTCCCTGCCAGTAGATTTTGTGAAAGCCAGCACTTTAACAAGGTTCAAAAAAGAGCTAGATATATTCATGGGGACTAGGTTCATCAATGGCTATTACCCAGGATGAGCAAGAACGCTGTCCCTAGCCTCTGCTTGTCTGAGGCTGGAAATGGTTGACAGGGGATGGATCACTTGATGATTACATGGTCTGTTCATTCCCTCCGGGGCACCTGGCATTGACCCCTGTCAGAAGACAGGCTCCTGAGCTAGATGGACCTTTGGTCTTATGCAGTATGTCCATTTTTATGATCTTATGATTAACCAGTAACATCTTCAGTTCTCAGGAACTGCAATAACAATGCAAGGAGCATTGCTCCTTATTATTTCTGTTAATAAGGGAAGATCTGCTAATGATGTTCCCATGGAGATAAGAGAACAGAAACATCCACTGAACTCCCGAGCAGTTTGCAAAGTGTTTGGCTTTTCACAAGGGCTGTGTTTAATATGCTCTGATCTCAGTGAGAAGGGTCACAGTGTCATGGGGAAAGCGGTGTGGTTACAGAGACCTGAGAAACCAGACAGCTAAAAGTCTCAACTAAACTTAAAACCATGAACACAATTCAAGATAGAATCCTGTAGGGCCAAGATGAGCCTGAAGTGGCAAGGTGCTTGTGTCCAATAACAGCGGAGACACAACCTCTTACGTTAATATAGCACCTTTCATCCCAAAGGTGGAGTGGTGCAGCCAGCTTATGGCACCATGAAGGAAGGACAGAACACTTTTGATCAAGGGCTCTGAGACAATCCCTTTTCTTAAGAAAAGTGCTATGGGATCTTTTATGTCCATGCAGTGCAGATGGGAGGTTGATGCAGGGTTGTCCTTTAGGATTTATGGAGCTCTACTGCAGATTATTAAACTGGTACCCCTGACCCTGACAACAGCAAAGGGGGAGGGAAGATGATTTCTTAGAGAGGTGATGTTATAATCTTCAGCAACACACTAATGAAATAGTTTTAAAGCACATTTTAAACTCAGGTCCTGTCAACTGACACAGTAAATTCAAAACCTGACAGATATATACCTGGGGTTGGCAAATGCCTGTTAAATGGCTTCATTACCACTTGAATGGCTCATTCACAGGTTCCATGTTCTGCTAATAGCTCTGGCAGGCTTTGTCACTTGTAAGTTAACTAGATCCTCTCCACAGGAAGCAGAGCCACAGACCAGAGATAGGAAAAGGCAGGGGGTGGACATTAAGACCCAGTGGTGCCCCCAGATTTTTGGGTACCCTACGCAGCTGCATATTCTGCCTATGGGTAAGGATGGCCCTGGGTTGGTGTTAGGGCCTCATCTCAAAGACTGCATAGGAAATGACATACACATATATCTAAAAAATGTCACCCGTGCCAGGATTCAAACTTGCGGGTTCAAGGTGTCTGTGTTGCAGACCAGAAGCTTCTAAACCAGCCCCTTCAGTAATGGCTTGTTGGGCAGACTGATGGAGAGCTGGAAAAGTAGATGAACAGACAAACAGAGCAGTGGGCGGGTGAATGGATGGGATGGAAAAAGAAAGTGACTAATGAGTATATGGAGGAAAGATCAGATAGATTGGTGCATGGATGATGGATGGATGGATGAAAGATATTAAATTAGGTGGTTGACTTGCTAGATGGCAGAATGAGTAGGAACAGTGAATAAATATGTGAATAAATATGTGAATGAAAAAATTAACTGCATAACAGGCGAGGAATCAAAAGAAAGATGGTTACAACGAAGGGAATAATTTGTTAGCAAATATAGAGACTTGGGTCAAAGCAGCAATTTAATTCAGTTCTCCTTCATTGGCAGCAGCCGCTTCCTCCAGCCACCAGAACCGATGAAGAATTGCAATTGCAGATAGCACTCAGCCTGAGCAAAAAGGAGCATGAGAAGGTATCCCGCCCGCTGCAGATCAAAGGGCGCTTACCTCTTCTTGGAGCCTAGCTTCCTGAGTTTCTAAATGGGCTTTTGGAGTATCAAACATTGCATAACTTTCTGCCTTGCTTGGTGTCTTTATGGGAAGTGGTGTTTCCCAGTCCTTTGGCTCCTGGTACCTGCTTGGCCATAAACTTACTTTCACTACACTTCAGGCTGTGCGCTGGACATTCCTAACAGTGGATTTATCCTGAAATATACAAATACATCAATAAAATAATACAAGGCTGCGGCTGGCTAATGTCGGACACTAACACACAGAAACCCATGACCTTGGTCTCTGTAGACAGTTAGTGCACAGCGGTGATCATTTATCCTGTGTCTTTACTGTTCACATCCCAGACCTATGCACTGTCCATTTTGACTGCAGGAAGTGAGGGCATGTCAAGGAGAGAACTCCCTGCTTCAGAGGGCACTGCAAGAGACTTTCCCGGGTACAGAGGAGGAGGAGGAGGAAGAAGAGGATAAGCTGAAGAAAAATCAGGTGAAAAGCTTTGGCTGGAGATCTGAATGCTGTGGTGATACATAAGGCTATGTCTACACTGCAGCTCTATTTTGGACTACCGGCGTATCCTGAAATAGCTATCCCGTGTCTTCACAGCAAGCCCATTATTTACAAATATAACGTGCTTGCTATTCCAACATCCCTGAAAACCTCATTCCACGAGGAGTAAGGGATGTTTCGGAATCGTGGGTTATTTCAAAATTACGAAATAAGCTATTTTGAAATAAGATCGAAATAAGATACGCACCCTAATAGACACAGAATATTTCATGTCCTGGTCACTGGTTCCAATCTAGCCTCAATTGGTAATGATCAAAGGAATTATTAGGGGATGGCCGATCACTGACTTGTCTAGATGATCTCAGCTTAATTTTTTGTGTCTGCATGAATTAAAAAAAAAGAAAAGAAAAAGACTCTATCATAGTCAACAGGGAAAATGAATTGCCCCTTTGCCTTCTGGATTCTCCCTCCAGAAGAGGCTTGGAGAGGCTGGGAGACACTGGTCCAGTCTCTGCTCTGCTGTATTCTGTGTGTAAGCAGAGTTCAGCGTGAGCACTATATTCACTCAGAGCAGCGGTGGGCAACCTGCGGCCCATCAGGGTTCTGTGTGTGGCCTATGAGACATTTTGGAATGTACCCAGATTATGCGGGTGTCTGTCCGTGTAGTTTTTTTCCTACGGCATTACTGAAATGACATGCGCACAGTTCTTTTTTTTGTAACAAAAAAAAAAAAAAGTGCCGATACTCCAGGGGAAAAGGTGCCGGTACTCCAGGGGAAAAGGTGCCAGTACTCCAGGGGAAAAGTTGTTGAGCTCTGACTGAAGGTGCCAGTACTGCGTACCGGGCAGTACCATCACAAAAAAAGCACTGCATGTGCGTAAAGCAAAGGCATGTGAAATGAGGGGCATGCTGATTGCACGCAGCACGGACTGCAAGAGCTGTGTGCGCCCTCTGCATCCAATCAAAGTGCTGCTTGGGGTCAGTCGGCACAACCCCGCAAATTCTAGATACAAAACTACCCTCTCCCGGGAGACCATCTTGGTTACGACAGTCTTGCAGCCTACTGAGATGGAGAATCACTCAAGTGGCCCACTCACTAGCCTAGGTTGCCCATCGCTGACTTAGAGCTTGAGCCTGAAGATATTTCAAATGATGTATTTCTTGACTACAGAGAGGAATCAGGTCAGGTCAGTCCCACCCCGCTCTAAAATGTAAGTTGAGGCTGCTTTCTCTGTAGGAAACATGGGGACAGGCCTGGGGCTGCCTGG